AAAAAAAAAAAAAAAAAAAAAAGCCAATGCAAAAGCCATATGAAAACTATACAAAAAACATTTAAAATGGGTAGTATGGTGGTAGAACCCTTTTGTAATGTTGATGTTATTTGTAGGAGCTGTCAGTCATATTAGATCTTGACATAAGCCCATATGTAGCATGATTAATTATATAATACTAGTTTTTCATTGCAATATTTTAGCAGCCATGACATGGACTGTTGCATGCCTGAATCTATTTAAATATTAGCCATTCCACAGAGTTTCTTTGTACATAATTCTGTTGCTTTCAAAAAAGAAAAAAGCTCTTAAGAATTCTATGGTTGAGGTAAACAGCAGAGACTACAGTCTGGAGTCTGGATTCATGCATCAAAAATGAAGTGTTTAAGTAGATTTTTGTCAACTAGCAAATGCCATTTCAGTCTGAGCATTTCACCACCTCATTCTACACCATCTGTCTCTCAGGGAGCAATTAATCTGAAACTCCAACATGCAGCATTAAAATTCCATTAACACTGAACAGAATATTAACATGTCTGGCATTGCCATTTTTATCTCTTCAAATTTCAGTGTTAACTTTGAATAAAGCAGGTATAACATTGTAATCTATTTGGATAACTAAGATTATTGAAGAAAATATGTAATTAGCAGCTAAAATTATGTAATAATACATAAAACTTAGTTTAACGATGCTGGATGTTTTGGCAACTTCAACATTCAGTATGTAAGCTAATGATTATTTGTAAAGGTACTACCTATTTTACAAACCTAATTTTCCCAAGCCTCTCACTTTACCATTTTCTTTTTGCAGAACCACATCACCGCCTTCGCAGAAGTCACATGATATTGAAGCAGATGGTTTTTCACTGCATTGGACATCATCCCTTTTTACCATCCATTCATAACACCCAAAGTTTGTTTGATTTCAAAGGAAGTTTATAACGTTGTTGAATAATTTTTATAATTTTAAAATCAATGTCAACCTATCTGTTTCCCCCACTAGACTGTGAGCTCCTCGAGGGCAGGATTATCTTTTTTTTTTTTTTTTTTTTTTTTCGGGGCAGGTTTTTTTTTTTTTTTTTTTTTTTTTTTCTGTGTCCCTAGCACTTACAACAAAGCCTAGACAAAGTAGGTGTTCAACAAAAATGTAATGACCAAATGAACAAAATTCCTAAATAAAACATTCACTTTAGTTTCTCACAGAATTACTATAATAATGTCAAAAGAAACCTCTACGTAAATCGTATTTGTGTATGAAAACCTTCTATTTTGGGCTAGTCATGTATTTTTAAAAATTTTCATATATCAATTCAGCAGTATGCCATATTTAATTTGAAGTGGACTTTGAAAGTAGTCATGGGGGTTTTTATTTTATTATTAAGCATGACATTATTTCCATTCTAACATTTCAATGTGAAATTACTTTACTTTTAGAAAGTATGTTCTATACTAAAATAATGTTTGCACATTATGCTATATTTCACTTAAAATACCATTCATACTATACATTCTAAGACTGGTGCTTCTGCTTTTGAAGGGGAAAATGCCAATTTTTACTGTAATAAGTAATGTATCATAATTAAAAATTATTTATTTGGACTTATTTCTCCTGACAATTGTGGCTTAATTGATAACTTGTTTTTGAATGCAGGCAGTATTTAGGATCGTTTAAATGAGTGAATTCAGCACTGGTATCTTATTATTCAGTAATTTCCCATGGGTAACAATGTCTCAAAAGTGCTCAATCCACTCTTAGGCTTTTTTTTACTACTAAAGATTCCACAGAATTTAAATGAGAAAGAACTATACCCTGACATATAATTTAAAAGATGTAAATGCTAGAAATACAGTTAATGTATTTTATTTTATATTTGTGTAGTACTTTATACTTTGCAAAATACATTTACACTAATTATTTTATGTATTCCTCATAATAACCTGATATAAACATGAAGAGTATGGCTTTATTTTTATAGATAAGAAAAATGAAGCCAAGACAGGGTAAATAACATGACAAATCCCAAACTAGTAAGAGGCAGAGTTTAAATTCAGCTTTTCTGGCCCTGAACTCATATTCCTTTCTAATATAGCACAGCTGCCATTTCATTTTGGACACTGGGGCCTTTCAGAGATCAATAGAATCCTGGGCAACTACCTATGGTTCAAAAAACAAAGAAATGCCAGAATGCAATTATAAAAACTCTGCTGTATTTTAAATATTTATGTTTTAAGAATGAACCCTTTTCAAATATAAAACTATAAAGTAACCTATTTGTAAACCAGTTTTAAAATAGTGAATATCAAGAGTCTAGAGGTGAGTTTCTTTGTAAAAAAGAAGCCTAAATTCAACATCTCTCCTTCTACGCTCACTCTTAGGCCCATGCCTGCCACTCGGGAGAATACCCAAGGGACATACCTTACATCGACCGAGTGGAATTAAGGATTAAAATCATTAATGTAAGAAAGGTGAGCTCCTCAACAATAATTTTGTAATCATTAAAACTACCCTAAGTAACTTTGGCTTATATGGCAAAGTAACTTGGGCAGTAGATAATTGACTGAAATGAATCTTTCTAAAGTTTACAGTACTAAAGAAAGCAAACTTTTAATTTTCTCTTTAATTTTAACACAGATTAGCAAATAAATATAATCAAAGATTGTCCGTTACTCCCCAAATAGATGTTATTTGCCCATTTCTATCACTGTGGAAGCTAAAGCACTTCTACTGGGGCCAAAAAGAAAAGAAAGAAAAGAAAATCCAAATTTCTACCAATTTCAAACCTCTAGAGCAATTCAGTCCTGTTGTAAATTTAGAACATGAAGAAACTTTGAATGTCTTGACCCTCTTTAAAGATTTTTTTAAGGCAATAACAGTAATAGGGAATTCACTTATTGGAAATGAAAGTGAAGGGGATGATCATAATGTCTTAGAAGGCTAGGTCACTAGTAAGGCTTCCAGAGTTTTATCAGTTCCATTGATTCCACATCAGACTTCCAAGGAGCCAAACAGGAATGTTTTTCCTATTGGAAGTCTTAGCTATATATACATATGTCAATGTTGCTTCTTTGCACCTTGCTAAACCTGATCTGAATGCAGGAGTTATACATTCTTCAAAAACTCAGATTTAACCCAGAACCAGAGTAAAATCTTCTCTATTATTTAAACATCTTGAGCTCAAGATTGTACAGTGAGTGATGCTGTCATGAAAAAAAATCAGAAGAAAAAGACAAGATACATGTGAATAAGGCAAAAGCCAGAAATTAGCCCTTAATCATGATGCTATTACTGAGAATAATGAAAATCACATTTCAGAAAATATTAATATGTAAATATGTACATTTGTAGTCTAGTAAAAGCAGACAAACACATATCTTTCTGATAAAGACATCTCCTTTTTATTCTACTTACTTGGGGCCCAGGTCAGTATAATTTGGTCAACCTGAAAATTTTAGTAGTCTCTGTTTGCATGGCAGAAATTCTGCACATGTTTTAACTGAGTCCTGTGATAACTTAAAAGGCTCTTTTATGTTAAAAGAGAGGTGAATCTTCTTTGACAGACTTTGTATTTTCCAATTCTAACTGGGCCTCTCTTTTCTCAGGATCTATCCTAGCCAAATATCTCAGTTACATTTACCATACCGTTTCCTTTGTGAAAGAGCAGTAGGGGAGGAAATAATTCTCTGCTGTGCATTGTATTTTTCAAATAAAAAATTAAAAATTCAATTTAAAAATGAATTTTGACTTTGTAATATATTGGTCTTTCTTGGGGGTGAGGATTAAGGAATGCTTGTTGATGTGCATGAACAATTAGTGACTGAAGAATGTTTGGATCACAATGGGTCAGATTAGACAAGTTGCCTGGACAGCTGAGTAACCTTCTGCATCTCGTGGACCATCCTGAGATCTTACCAACCTCCTTATTTCCAAATCACAACCCCCTAAAACTATCTGAGACACTGAGCAGGTATATGATCCACATATATAGGCTCACTTTTATGTTGAGCTAAGCATTTAAGAATTGATGTAATTAGCTTATTCCTGCCTCTAAGGCACCATTTATTACATTTTGATTGCATGCTCTAAAACATCGCCCTGGAAATATACCAAATGGTTCTATTTATGCTTTGAAAATATTGATCTCAAAATTTACCAGGCATGGGCTTTCTAATGAATTTTCTAAATTACAGTTCTTTTAGAATATCAATTAAGGGAATTTCCTCCAGACTTTAAGTGAATGAATCTCTTCTGAGAAAAACAAGAGTATTCAAATTCCTCATTCCTGTCCACTTTAGATTATAGTCTGATCTTAGCCTGATAGAGCCTAAGACATGACTAACATTTAATAAAATAATAAGTCTTCTCTCCCTACCCCAAGTCTTGTGAGCCATAAATGGATCATAGCATCTAAATTCTAAACTCAGATTACTGTCTTTCAATTCTGTGGCCTTGCTCACAAAAGAGCTTCAGATAAGAAAATATAGATGAGTGGACACAACCACCTTCAGCATTCAGATGAAAACTCCAAGCTATGTCTCAAAGATCTCATTCTTTAGAAGAATGATACTGACAGATGCCATCCTCTGGCATGATTAGCTTCATATTATTTCATTTATAAATGTGTTTTCATTTTTGCATGGAAATTCTATTGCTTGTAGAAAAAGAAGTTTTTTTCTTCTTGGGAAGAGCAAAAATGAATTTTTAATTGAATTTTGTTTTAAAGGGAAACCTTTTCCAAATGGTGAGATGCTTTGAGTATTAATCAGGTTTCCCTAGAGGTATTGCTCCTTGTCAAGAAGCAATTTCAGCCTTCATTCATTTGGCATATTTATGGAGTGATTCTGTGAAGCAGATGATTTGCAATGTGCTGACTAAACAATGCATAGAAAGATCTGGCCTTTGCCCCTCCAGATTGTACACTTCAGCAGCTCTGGCGATGGAGCTGTAAGAGATCTGTTTTAGGTTCAAGTAAGACAACTGGCTTGGAGTTAATCTGCTGCTGAGGACTAAAGAAAGGACATTTTTATAGATTACATCAGCAACTAGGTTAATTTTTTTTAAAAAGCAGTGCCTCCATAAACAGTATTGTATTATTCAACCTTGCTAATTTTGAAAGTCCTAAAATTCTAGATAATAAGCATTTACTATCCTTCATAAGTCTATGGTTCATGGTTCAGCCGAGTTCCTTTTCTGGTCTGAGCTGAAGTTTTGATGCAGCCATGATGAGTTTGGGAGGCTCTCGCTGATCTTCACTGTGCTGTCTCATATATGGGCATCATCTGGCTGTATGCTGGTCAAGGATGGCTTCTCTTGGGACAACTTAATTTTTCTCTATGTGGTCTCTCAAACTCCATCAGGCTTGGTAAACTCTTTGGCAGAATGGGCTAAGAGAATAGAAGCATGCAAGGCAGTAGTACATTGTCACTTGGCCATCTCATTCAATGGGCCAAGCAAAGTCCCAAGGCCAGCCAGATTCAAGAAGTGAGGGAGGAGCTACAAAGTCACATTAAAAAGAGGTGAACACAGAGGTGGGTGGAGGACGAGGGCCATTTTTACATTCAATATATCATAAATTTTACTACTGCTAAACTTGTTCAAGCAGTACTCCCCAGTGTTGAGTTCCGAACTTACAGAGTACCGATTCATTCTGATAAACATGAGAAACCCACAAATGTCAATAGAATGCTAAGTAACTGAAAAAGAATGGTCAAACCACCAATCACCTAGTACATTCCAAAATGCCTTTGTGATGGCTGTCTAGAGAACCGTCTGTCCAGCATCTCACAGCAACAGGGAGCTTCCTGAAGTTTTGTTTATAGACAAATTTCCTAGGTCTTCTCCAATAGGCAATAATGAAGGAAGAGAACATAATTTTCAAGCAGAAATAAAGGAGAAAAACCATCTAGGCAGAAAGAATAGGAGAGTAACTAAAATATAAGATCAGGTTATGACACATTGATTCTATATATGTACATGTGACGTGTATATGTATGTGTATGCATGTGTTTGCTTTGTGTAATTCTGATTTTCAGAA